GTACTCGAGCAAGGTATGCCACCTGCAGGAAAAAACCTATTTAGAGTTCACCTACAGCACTGCAGAAGTGCTTGGTGCTATCATTCTCTAATTAAAAGAGCAATTTTTTCAACTGTAACACGATGGCACCACAAACACCTCTGTTTCTAAGAACAATTTTGAGTGAAGAGCCACCAATAGGAAAAGGTTATCTACTATTAACCAGGTATTTCAATGTAGCTACACTTGAAATATGAGGTTTAGTTCCATCTTCCATCTAAGAGGAACTGGAAAACTACCACTTCCTAAAAACGAAAGCAGACTTTTAAATTGCAGCAAAAGATTTAGGTCAAGATTATTTTTTCCCTGAAGTGTAGGAGCAGTGATACAGACTGAGGATGTTGTGTGACTTCTGCCATCAGAGTTTAAACAAGTTAGACACACTTCTGATCCAAACAGTTGAGGACAACCAAAATTTCCTTAAGAATTGGAAAATGGCAATTTCTAGTTTATTTTCTATAATCAACAGGAAAATCTCCCTCTCTCTAAAAAGAGAGCAAAAAAGGAAAAGCTCCCTTATTTTTAAAGATAAACATTGCTCACAAAAAGCTTACTCAAATTATCTAAGTCAATACCTGAAGGTTAGTGTTTAGGCAGCAAAGCACAGTATGATGAAACGAGTATTTTGTTGACACAGCACCAGGGCTCTTTATTAGCTGAGGATTGCCAGTGTTTTAACGTGGAAAGGCCAGTATCCCACCACACGCAACAAATCACTGGTGCTTGTCAGATGCAGCTGCCAAGAAACCTTTCTTGCTTTGGAAAAGAACAGACTAGTCCGGCATGATTTCAGCTGCACAACTGAGATCTTCAAAGAGTGCTGATGCTGTCAGAGGTAAGCCCCGGGCATTAAGGAACTAGGGGGAATAGGGTTAGCCCAAAGGACACTGGTGTAACCTGCCATGGAATACAGTCAGAAATTTTAGTTTCTATTTTTCATCAAAAAATGCCAGTCCCCACATGTCACTTGATGACTCCTCTAACAAATCTCTTCCTGGATCCCACTAGCTCACTTTATCTAGCTCTTTGGCCAGCCATCAGTGTCAATCATCCTAAACTACCCTGACATGTAGCCTAACCTACGGCTAGAGGCTTCAGGCTTTCAGTCTTGCTGGCTTCCAGGGATGATAAGTACTCATCCTAGGAAAACCAGCTTCCACAGCAATCTGCAGGCAAGTGCTAAGCTCTGACACCCCTGTACCTGTTGAGCCGAAGTGAAAATACGTCACATCTACTTCCCAAGCTGGACTACATATTTTCAGACTAGTTTGTAAAATACCCCCACAGAATTATTCAGTCAACATGTCTCACCTAGTCAGTAATTTTTTGTCTGTGTATGCATGAAACAACTGAGAGCAAGCTACTGAAACACCCTCAACACTCCTCCGTCCAATACTCAGGTCCTCCTGCAAAATATCACTTCCCTTGCACTTCTTGTGTCCTGTAGCCAGCATCCCCAGGCCTCACCACACTGGCTACCTCTGAAGCTGCTGCCCATTAAGAGGGAGAGAACCAGCTCCGTGCCTCTTTGAGAAGTCCCAGCAAAAGACAAGGTACCTGATCTTCCCTTCCCTTGCCTGTAGGACAAAGTGGGGACTTGGACCTAGCAAGCCAATTAATCATGAGGATAGAAACAGAAATGCCCTACTACTGGAGACCTTCATCCCCTCTGCCTGCCAGGAAGGCAACCAAAGGGTACAGGAGTGACAAGGAAGAGACAGGGGTTATCTCGGGAACATCACATTCACACAGATGGTGCAATTACACACGCCTCATTTCCTAAAGACACTGGGCTAAAACTCATAAAACATGCAGAACTCTTCCATAATAGGAGTGCTAGTTTCAGCTAAGTTTTTTGAGACATTTAAATCAATCTGTATTTAATTCACATTTTTCCCAAGGAAAAAAGCTCTTCTCTTTTCCTTTGCTGCCTGCCTGCAGAACTAATCAAGAAAGAACAGATTTTAAACATTACATTCTGTAAATTTTGAAAGGGAAAAAACAAAGCAACATAACCCTGTTCCAAATTTAGACTGTTGATCAGAGGAAATTCCACTCATCTCAGAAAAGAACAAAAGATATAGCAAGCTGCAAAATTTTTTAAGGTGAAGCAGGAACTCACCAATCTCTTTTTGTTAACCATCATCAAAGACCAAACACATGCACTGGAAAGAATTTTAAACCTCAAAATACTTGGATTATGTGATACTAAATAAATACTTATGTTAAAGGAAAAAACAAGGTAAAGGAATTCTTTAAAGCTGCATTATTATAGCCTATAATTCCACAGCAAGGCAGGAACTTTGTCACTGGTTCTAGCAAGCCAATGCACTAACAGAATAATTAATGGTTCATCATTCTCTATAGTTAAGATTACTGCAGTCTACTGACTGACTAACTTTACCAAGGTCCATTAAGTAGAAAATACCATGCCAAATCCTACAGATTCAAAAAAAATCCTTCTTTCTTTCTTCTTATCCTCTGTATGGCTGGAATCACACTAGTAGGCTACAGCTGCTCAGCTCCCCAAGAAACCAGGAAGGTAAGAAATACTGCAGATGTCCTTATATATGCATGTATGTGTGTGTATATATATATATGTACCTTTCTAGACACAGCAGGACTACAAGACATGGGATAGTCTGCCTAATTATTTAAAAGAAAATTTGTTCACCTCAGCAAAACTGCATTTCAGGTTGTCTCAGTGTCTGGAACAGAACAAGGACTTCAGCCTCATCCCTACATAACACGGTCAAACCTTTTGAGCAGTCTTGCTCACTGTAACACATTTGATACTAGGAAATCCATTTCCTGAGATGGGACTACTGGATTTATATTCCTGTTGGCAAAAAAAAACTCCACAATTCATTTTTTCTCATGTTTTGACAGATGTACATGTTATCTAAGCACAGAATTAGACAAATTATCTGGAGTAAACGAGAGTTTGAAATCACAGTGCCCTAAATCCTACAGACAGCAGGATCTTACTAATCTTGTCATGATGCAAGATACTAGAAAACATAGGGAAACTTATAAAGAATCAAGTAAACTGTTTTTGTAAAATGGCTTATAAAAATAATTCTTAATGTAAAACATTAAAAATGGCAAGCTACAAATAGTTGTATGAACTGTTGTTATTCCTGCAGGGCAAAGGTGCCTTTCATAACACATTAAATCACAATATACAGAAATATTTTTAAGTGTATTCACTTAGCTTCGAGGTTTTTCCCCCAGTTTCTAGTTAGAATGCTATAAGGTTTTGGTTTATTTCACTTACCTACTGTATTTGCCACTCAACATTATCTGATCAAAGATCATTTTTGGACTTCTCCAACCAATATCATTGCTCCACCAGAGAAAAATGTAACGATTCACAAAGAAATAAAAGTCAGCAACTGCCCTCTGACAAAATACCAGAATTATTTAAAAAATCTGAAATTGAGTTTGGAGAAACACCATGCCTATGGTAAAGTTTTACTAACAATCTGAAAACTCACATTCCATAGAGTGTAAGAAGTTATTCATGAATCTCATTTTTAGTAAAATTTTAATAAAAGTGATGCTTTTCACATTCTGAAGAGCTAAAAATACAGAAACTTATTTACATTTTGTAACAACAAAAATGTACAAATTGCTATACAAAATGCATTACCATCTCATGAAAAAGAAGTTTTTGAAAGTTCTAGGAGTTAGGACATTACTAAGTCTGTATTTTCTGAAGAGATACCACTTTAAAGACTAAGTATCCATAACTGAACAGTGATTTTCTTCAGATTAATAAAAAAATGCTTTAATGACAATTATGACTGTCATTACTTTTAATTTTGGCTGATACAAATATAACCTCATAATAAAAGCTGCTGAATTTATAACAAGTCAAAGCCAATAAATACTCTTTCCCTTGAGGTTTTTGCCACAGAAATTTTCAAAATGAGAAAAGTATAGAAACTTCTTTTTAAGGAAATAAGCCTGGCAAGAAGAATGTTAGCTACCCTTTTATAAACCCCTATATTTGTACACAATTGGACAATGCAGATGTTTACAGTTATTTCAAAATTACACATATGGCAATCACTGTGTGCTATCTGATACACGTGGAAATAATTCAGCACAAGCTGAACACACAGAATGGCAAGTTTCAAGTCACATTTCTAGTTGAAACACGCAAGCACATTCTGATACACAAAAGAAAATCTGACACACTTTTATTTTAGAAAAATATGGGACATCATATTGTACAGATGAAAAGCGTAACAGATCAGCTCAGTCAGACCCTGAACTACTGCTTAAATCACTGGAAATAGTCACATCTGTGCGTTTGGGTGCTCGAGTCGTAAAAAGATGCTGATTCACAAACTGAGTATGGATGAATAGGATTCTATCAGCACTTCAGACTGGGTGATCACTGCAGCACCTGGAGTATAACTTAAATCATATATTGGGTGTAATTCTGATACAATGCATTTTATTTAAGTCTAATGCAAGCCCCTACATTATACCATGACCTTCAAAAGCTGATAGCTATTTACTGATTTGAAAGCCACCCAAAGGAAGACATCAGTCCACAAAGTATTCTGACATCAATGTACCTACAGTGTACTGGAAAGTGACTGAAAAATGCTTTGATTTGAATGCTGACAGCTTTTACCAAATGCTCCAGGATCATTCAGTTACTGTTAAATGGCAACTGTGTGAAATTCTATTTCTAACTGAAAGGGGAAAACCCCCACAACAATCAGTTCAAAGTAATATACAGAAAAACTACTGAAGTGCCTAAACTGTTCTAATATTCATTTGAACCCATGACTCTGAAAAGGTGAAGTATCCTGTTCTGAAACATGTATGGTCCATGGATCTCATGTGAAATCCTTTGTTACTTTCACCCATGAGTGTACTGTATGATTAGTAGAAAATCTTTAGCACACACAAAAAAAATGAAAGATGAAACTTGCAGCAAGAGAGCATGGCAAACCTGAGAGATCTATTAGTGCATAAATCTGCTTAAAAACTAAAAAGATAGAAAGAGAGAGCTAACAAACTACAATAAAGGTTATGTCTTTAAAGCAGTAAGTTATAACAGGGTGGGAAATGTTTAATTTGCACATATGCCTGCAAAGGGGTCACTATCTGAAAATAAAGAGTTGGTATTTTTCACAGCATCAGATTTATGGTAAAAAGCCATAAATAGTAGTTTTTATATTATGCTTTTCCCACCCTGGCAGAGAATAACATGAATTTAGAAGCACAGTAGAAGTGAAAAACAAAGAAGAGAAGAGATAGAAAGCAGCAGAGAAAGACAGAAAAGGTGAATACAGAGCTACAGAAGTGTTTATTGAGCATGCTACAGAGGTAAGCAGAGTACACACAAAATGAAATTAAACAACCATCAAACCTCCCAACTTTGTTAGAAAATTAATTTTTAATTGTGCCACTTCCAAACTATACTGAATTTTACAATTCTAAAGATGTAAAAACTCAACTAATAGAAAATATACATGACCTTTTTTTTCTACATAGATAACAGAATCTATGAATCTTGAAACTAAGTACATCAATTTCAAAAAGTATTGGTCATTTAAACAGAATCAAGGTAACAGTTCAGACTGTCAGTGAACTGCTTTCAAATTAACTGGATCTGCAGATTCTGAGCCATGTTTATAGTAAAGTCAGATCAATTTCTAAATACAAAATATTTTGAAGAGATTTATTAAAACTGAATATTACAATGCAAGGTAAATTAAGACTAAAGGCACATAAACTTTGGTCCCACCTGGTTGTCAGTTTTAGAAAACTGCCACAAAATTTCCTGCAAGCATTTGCAGCAAACTTTCTTCATCATTGAAATATACATGCACCATTTCCTGAACTAGCTTGACCAGTCTGTACATGCTCAGAAATCCACAACCATATTCCATATCTTAATTACAAACTAAAGATGGCAATATATATTGAAATGCACGTAAGTCATGTCAACTTCAAAAACATCTACGAAAAATATTCAGCCACAAACAAGACATTACTTAGTGCTGACATTTATATGATACATCCCACAAGAGTGTGTACAAAAAGGTTAAGATTCCACAATGCTTTTCACGTAGGGCTCAAAGTCACAGAAGTCACTTTTTGTCCTTTAAGAAATTAATATTCTGTACCTTGTTAATTTTAACTAATGCCTACATTCATAACTGAATCTAGACCAGAACAATGAAATACAAAGGCTTTTTTTAAAAAAAGAACACATAGCAAAAAGTAGCAAAAATCAAATAAAATTTTTTTTTTTTACTTTTTCAGCGTAATGCATCTTATCCAATTAAAAAGAAAATAAGTGACAAGCCAGCAGATAAAGAAATCTATCAAGCAGGAGAAAACAAAAACTTAACCTTTTTACACACCCCTGCCTAAACATATTTAAATTATCATGTAACAATGTGCCCCAGACAACCAAATTTGCTTTTTACTAGTTATGCAATTCCAGCAGTACTAATTTTCCTTTTTAAGGCACGTACGTCAACTAAGTTGAAAAAATGTGGTATCAATTTGAAATCTTTTAAACAAAACAATGGTTTATCTAAACAACAGTTGAACAGTTGAAAAGCAGTTAACATCACTGCCTTTTTTTAATTATTTTTTTTTGAAACAATCAAGGAATGGTAACAGCATGAAAAAAAATAAAAAACAGAAGACAAACTCTGGTCCCCACTTTCCTGAACAGTCAAAAGGTGACAACACCAAACAATGCAATACACCTTCATTCTCTATCTGCCTTTTTAAATAGTTGACTTAGAGAAAGAAACTCTCAGATGATGACTTTCTCCCAGATTGTAATTGTGAAGATCAATCAAAGCCTGAATAGCTTCTTCTACTGTTGACATCTGAAGAAGTGCCATCTTGTGATCTCTTCTGAAACAAAACAATGGAATTAGGAACTTGAACACTACAGGGGCTGCTCCTAATTTGCAGGGGTTTGCTATTTGATATATATTTTTTCTTAAGATGTGCTGCAAAAGTCTTTTTTTAGAGCTATGTGCAGAAAAGGTACTTACTGAAAAAATTTAAATGCTTTCACAGTGCCTCCAGTGTTAGCAAACAATGTGCGTAGATCCTCTTCTGCTACTGATGGTCTACAGACAGGGAGAAAATAAGCATAAGCAGGAAATCATTAGGCAGCTCAGTGTGCTGTGATTCACATAAATATTATCAGATTGCTGACAGTGAACACTTACGGAATATTGGACAGATGAAGTGTTGCAGAAGGAGGGAATATATTTTGGAAGTTTTTGGAACCAGGTTTCTTGAAGCGGTGCAAAGGTGAATTACCAAAATCTTTAGTCAGCCCTTGGTCATCAAGTCCCTCTCGAGGTAGTTGTACTGTCTGATGTTTAGAAAGGGTAACCCGAATGATCTTTCCATACATTTTTTGTCCATTAAGATGGCTCATGGCTGAAAAAGACAAGTTTACTCAATTGAGTGCTACTGTTCAACAGCTTGTTGTACATCACACATGCAAAGAAGAAAAGCACTCAAGCAAATCAAAGGGTCAGTATGCTAAAGGACTAGAATCAAGAACTAGGTCTGCAGACTCTTTGTCAATATTTAATTTTACTCAGGGATCTTCATATTTGATTCAGCTGTTGAATTCATTTAGGGTATTCATTTAAGTGCAGACCTTCTGGAACACAAGTGCATGCAAAAAGATTTTGGATCTGGTGGATAACCAGGATAAGAGACAGACTGACAAATATAAATACATTTAGTTCACCTGATCTTACACAGCCTAATTTCCAAGTACTTAGACTAATGGGAATATAAACAAAAAACTAATCTTACCCAGCTGTGACTGGTTTCCATCAGCCATCTGTATAAGAGCACTATCTTTCTTATTGTATAAAATCTTCACACGCTGCACATCACCATAAACACCTTTTCAAAGTCAAAAGTAACCCAAAAGGAAAAGTTCATTTTAAAGCCAGCCACCTAAGTAATATATTTTGACATATCAATGGAACATTCAGACAGCAACAAGATCACTCGCTCAAACTCAACACACTCACAAATGAATAAAGGAGATAAAGATTTTGAATAGTGAATTTTGAAAAGAATAATTTCTGATAAACCCTCAAAGCTATGTGAATGATATAAAATTAAAGACCATGCAAAATATATTAGCATGCATTAAAAGAAAATCTGTGTCTATGGAGAGATTTAAACAGCAAAAGAAAAATAGCAAAAAGATTTACTATTCAACTTTAAGCCAAAGTGCTAGCTACAAATAAGAATTAAGGTGAAACAAAAAAACCAACCAAACAAAAACCATAAAAACAAAACCAAATCAATAATAAAAGTATAGTGCTAACAATAACATACCGAAGAGGGTAAACAGACTTTGGGGCGTAACCATCTTTAGAAGGAGAGAAGAGCAAGCAGCGTAAGACAAGAAGAGAGAAGAGTCGAGGAAGAGCGGAGATGAACAGATCATCCATAACGAAGGGTGGTTCCCGCAGAATGGTGAGGTGGTCATGGATCATGGTTTCAAGGCGGTTAATTGGGGCAAGTTGGTCCGAGGAACATTTTGTTCAAGCACAGAAGCATGAACATAGGGAATGAAGACAGGGAACATAGACAAAGACGAGGAGAAGGGTAAGACAGGGAAGGGCATGGGAATTTGGGTAAAGACAAGGAAAGGGAAGTTGAACACACAGGGAAAAGGATGAAATGGGGGAGGGAATACAGCAATGCAGAAGAAAAAAAAATAAGGAAGTGGGGAACAAAAAAAAAAATAAAATATAGGTCAGTACATAGGAAATGTAGGAATTTGGTCAGAAAATGGTTGGTTTATGTACTGTACAAGAAAAACTGAGTAAAATGTAGTCATCCAAGACAAATATGGGTAAAGTACATTCATATCAAGAGTAAACTACAGCATTTCATCTCAACATGAAAATAAATTAAAAAAAGCATGCAATAGAAATTTTGAAATTTAAACTTTAACTGCGTAAGCATGGCTGGTTATGAAATGCAGGCAAAATATCTTTCAAAATGGCACTCTGATCTGAAACATTTTAACATGCAAGACTGTGGATGACAAAATAGTACTAGATGATAAAAAAAGCTTAATGATTTACAGTGACAGAGGCCAGTTAAAAATGGAACAGCTAGACTGATACAAACTTCCCACATTTCATACCAGCTTTCACAGCCATCAAAATAAATGTAAAGGACAGTAAAAATGCAAAACTAAATCCCTTTAGATTTCAGAGTTAGCAAGAAAGATACAGTTAAGGTGAAAATGCTTTGCCACCACTTTTGTTTTTTTTTTAAGACAAATGAGTAACTGCAAAGAAAAAAAAATTACTAAGACAGACTGGGAGAGTGCCTCGTCAAGATCTTTGGGAGAACCTTCAAAGAAAAATGCGTTAGAGTAGTTCACATAAATTAAGACTCAAAAATGTGAGATACAAGCATGAAATGAAACAGCAAACAATTAGAAACAAAACAGAAATTCTAGTTTACATGATTACAGTTACAAAAGAAAGAATAGCTGGTATTCAAACATAAAGTTACCAAATTTTTCTTAGAAAAAATAGGTAGCTGACTGTCAAAGGATATTTTAAGTTGTGAGCTACCTAGGAACAAAAATGTATTTAACAATGGCGTTAAAATAAACTTTGGGGATTATTAAAAAAACAGCAAAAATACTTTGAACTTAAAATCCAAATGTAAGAGGCCAAACGCAAAGAAATTATAAAATACTGACAAATGAAGTGTAACTAAAGAGGGGGGGAAGAAAAAGTAAAATTGTTTCACTTACCTCTTCATTTAAATTGCTAACCAGGAGAACTGTATTGCCACCAGCTGAAACTCCAGGCATTCCCACACGGCCAGCAGCAGCAGCTGCAGCTGCAGCAGCAGCATTTGGAATAGCCAAAGGACTCAGAGCTCCTGGAACAGCTGCAACAGGAAGCCCTAATTTTAAAATAAAGCATATTTTACGAAACACACACAAGTCATTTTAAAAAAAAAGTTCCTATATCAGTACTAGAGCTGTATACACCACTCTACACAGCAGACAATACCACTCTAAAGTCATCCAAAGGGTTGTGAAATGGGTTGGTAAATTAACGTAATAGAAACATAGAAAACTTTTTTCTGAAAAAAGTCTGAAAGGTTATGAGGTATAAAAAGTACTTTCTATTCAAATAACAATTATTGTGCAGCAAAACTTTCCACTGCACTCCAAAATGCTTCAAGTGTCTAGTTTATCAAATGGTCTAAAGTAATCAGTAAGAATAAACACTACTACGTGTTTATTCAGTAATCAGTAAGAATAAACACTATTGCAATGCTCTCTGCATCATTACATCCTTATTTCCCATCATCATTTGGGAGATGTTCCTCACTCAACTTGGTGCTTTTGACTAAATCCCCAACAGTGCAGTTGGCCATGTGAAGAGGTTTGCACTTCTCTCACAACCCTAGCATGAGGTGGGGAGACAACTCTCTAAATTCAAGATTCAACATGCTCTGTGGCTTTAGTAATCCAGTTCTCTAAGAAGCATGTCACCCTCAGCTAAAGCTTCAGCTGTGCCTTTACGTTTTCCTCTTCAAGGAAACTCAGACCCCGCAGAGAAACGCTGCTTTTGTCTGCTCACGTCATTGGGGTATGAGTTGAGTGTGCTACTCGCAGGATTCAGGAAAGGTTCTTGAAGTGATACATTTGCACTATACATGGTTTATATAGGAACAGCTTTATTGTATTTGATCAACACTGCCATTTGCACATGATGCAGGGTTCAGTAAAAGAGCAATATTGTATCAAAATACTTTTCCAGGACAGTAAGGCATGACAGATCCCCACCTGAAGGAAATACAACTTATTTTATACTAGGTCAATAGCAATCACTTACATTTTAGAAAATTTGCTATTTTAAGTACTTCTTATATAAAATATTTTGTTTGTTGTGGTTCAATATAATACAGCTGTTGTTTATCCAAAGCTTTTTTCTGTGACATCTGTAACTTTTTTTGGGGGGGTTGAAGAAGAGGGAGACTGTATCTGTTGTTTCATATGTGAGGTGAAAAACAGAAGAAAAAAAAAAATTGCCGCTGGTCATTCATTTGAAACCACCTCATTTAGTCCACTAGTAATTTTCTCATTCTTTCAAAAAACATTAACACTCACTGAATATTGTCCAGTTTACAGACTCAAAGATTTCTGAAACCTTATTTTATCACAGGTGAGGATGTAGTAGATGAATGAGTGATGATGCACGCAGGCTAGATCATCTATTTGATTGATATGTTTTTAACTGATTACTTAGCATACACAGATCTCATTTTTTGAAAAGGTCAGACAAATTAAAAAGCCACAGCAAATAGCTGTGGAACAGAATTCTTGGTCTGCAGTCTCCACTGTACTTTGATTTACCATTCTGATTAAAGCAAAGAAAAGTTTTTTAATAAATAAAAATAAGAAGAGTTTCTATTATGAAAAAGTTACCACGTAACACTGTTTAGGACTTGTATGAAACTATTTAGAAATGTTAGCTATGCTGTCAACATGATCAACTAGTATTAGAAATCTTTGTCACTAGCTTTATTTCAGCTTCCAACAACTACAGATAACAGGCTTTTGTTTTTTTCAAAATATTAATGGAAACATACAAATATTATATACCTTCTTTCCAGCCTTTTGAGGCCTTTTCCTCAATGAAGTTAAAATACAACATATTGCATTATTTATTCCCTCTCAGCTTATCCTTTTGTGTGACTTCCAAAATGCAAATTGTTAATGCCATTTCCATAGTAGGCAAACTGAAGCTATACTAAGAATATATTATCAACTTCCATGAAAACCACAGGCACTAGTGATTACTAGTAGTAATCTTAATGTAGGTAAGTAAAATTGACCAAGGACTGGGTTTATAGACCTGTTAGGAACCCTTTTCGTGGCTCTATGTCAAGTAATCACCATCTACTTGTACTGCCTAGTCCCTGTCCTGCTGCCTACAGCTTTGGGGGAGACAGCAGCTTAACATCTCTGCTTAACAACTTACAAAGATGCAAGTTACATCATCACGTTACATTTACTGAAGTGGAGCATTAACTTCACCCAGAAGGAAACCGAGATATGTTTGGTTTAGAATTAGTGCAGATTTAAGCACCAAGACTAACAAGATTTACATCCTGTCACTAAAAATCAAGCAACAAAACTGTGTTGAACCTAAATCTCACTTTTGACATATGGATTACAGTAAACTCCTAGAAAGCCAACAACAAAAATTGCACCCAAGTTTTGTACAAGTTTGCAGCATATAAAAGTGTAACATAAGCAAAAGGAAGAATGGAGTCCTTAATGCATTTTCTGTCAGCAATCTCATGATATACATATAAAAGATCAGCTACAGCAAGAATTTCTACAGCAATGCCACACATCCATCTCATGGTATTCTTTCTGAGCATGCAAAAGAACTTGAAGAACACACTAAACTCAAATCTGAACTCCACTCTTTCACGGGGAAATATGCTCTCTGAGAATCACATGTGAATAAGGCACAGCAGAAACTCAGCATACGCTGAAGACATCTTGATCAACATTACAGAAAGAAATTGTGTATCAAACAGAAGGAAATAAACATTAAGATTAAAAAAATTAGGAGGAAGGTTGCTGTTATCATTCTGCCATACTTAACACATCAGAGTTTGCCAACCTCCATGACACTCTGATCTTCTAAGTCTTCCCACCCTTCTCCTTTTGAGCATCTTAATAAATACAACTATAAATTGTATGCACAAGTATCCATTCTGGTTTTTGGTATTTGTCTATCCTTTGTCCTCTTATTTATTACATCATTTATATTTTGTGCCTTTTTATACAGTAAGCAGCCCAGAACAAGAATCCTGTTATTCCATATTCAAACAAGCACCATTCCCGTTATGACAATTATCCTAATGACTAAGGCATCAATAGTACTATGGAGTCTTTTTGTAATATTTTTCAGCTGGAGAACTCAAGTTCTGTAAAAACAGCAAACAGTCAAGTAGAAAAAAATGAACAATAACAAAAAATCCCTGTACTAACCATCCCCATTTGACAGAGGATGAAGAGTTAACAACATACCAAGCTCACCCAAGTGGCCAGGAGCAGACTAAGAAAATGTATCCAGCTCCCTTAAGTCTCTTTTGAAACAATGAATGTTTTTACATAAGAAAAAGCCAACATGATATAAAATTTCCACTGTTCATCAAAAAAAACATGACTGACTTCACTGATGCTGAAAACGTTTCACTGCTGCAATGAAAGTCACCCAGGTTATGTACCTTGTATTTTTCTACCGCTTTAGAAAAACAATGTATGTCTGGAGGTCCACCCAAGGAGAACAAATTAAAATATTTAATTATTGTGACTGTCATCTTCATAATATTTGTAGAAATTATTTTTAATGTATACAGAAGAATGAGTGATTACAATCAAAATGTTAGAAAACTCTGTAATTTTGCAGACAAAAATCAAACGTATCTAAGTGACTTTCAGGTCTATAGTAGTAGACCATAAAGTCCACTAAAGTCACTTGGATAACCGCAGAAAGTACAATAACCCCAATTAAATATATCCGTAGTAATGCAATGATGCAATCACAGAGTGTGATTTCACTGTGCCAAGCAAATTAAACCTGTTAATTTGATGCATGCTCTAAGTATTATATACAAGGAAATACATTAGTAAGCCTGAGACTAAAAATCAACTTCTCAGGATTCAGGAAAATGTCATGCAGAGTTACATAAGAAAATGTATTTGGCACTGTTTTATAGCTCATGAATCTTTACTCTCTCCTCTCCTAAATATTGTGGGTCTCATTAATAAGCAGATTTATTTTGCTTTTGTCTACTTACTATTCACACTGAAGCCTCATGTCTATGTTCTAGTCATTATAGGCTAACAAAACAATTACTAATTGCTTCAAGGGTGTTCCTACAGCACTCATCTCTATGGTGTCAAACTTCTACATGAACATTCATCCACCTTCCCAATCAAAGCATAAAATGAGAGATTTCAATTTTTAAATTATGGGAAGTTGTTTTTCTGAGACTTTAGATTCTTACAGTATTTATTTTACTTTCCAAAACTTTTGCTGTAGCTGCAAATGATACTGAAAATGAGAAGTCAAGCGCTCTGGAATTTGGTGGAATTGACTTTGTGTGTACTTTACAAAAGTAGATATGAAATGTATCCTTCAAGTAACCTGATTTCAGAAAACTGGCAAATACAGTGCAACATTCAGTAGCCCTATTACCTCTTCCTGGGTTCACATCATTCACTAAGTGCCTTCTATCTTTTGTAACAGAGAGCAGAGGCCCCTCTTTCCTAGAGTAACTCAAACTTACTTCAGTTTGGCCCAGACTGTACAAAACCCATGAAATCTATGTTGTTTCTTCAGAACATTATGTTTTCTTCAGAACAAAAATGGGAAATTATCCAAGAAGGAAAAAAAAAAAAGACTAAGTGGGAAGAACAATGATCACAACATAATAAATCAGCTTGTATAAAAGTAATGATTCTATATCTGAGTGCTATTACATTTTAAAGAGTGAAAGGTGTTCTCCCCAAAAACCAACCTGACAGGAGTAGGAGCATGCATTGATTATTTTGGTAACAGTCAGAAGATTTCAGAACATTTTACCAACTTCTGATGAACTCAAAGGCTAACAGGATTTATAGAACTGCTATAATATATCACTAGAAGTGCAACTATAGATTGTTTTCTTTTATTCACAGAAACGACAGGTAGCACAATAGGGTTTGGATATTTTAAGCAAAAACCATAATCTGTCCCCCTTGAAGGAAACCAGCAAAATGTTAGTTTCATAATCTGATATTACAAATAACCATTAGCATGAAGAAATCATGCAAATCATGTTCAGTCTCTCTTACAAACTAGGTGGGAAGGTGGGCAAGGTGGCCACAGACAGCAACGTACGAAACATGGAAGGACAGATTTTGGGATACAAGCTGAACTAACTTGACTTTTTCTAGTACTTTGTGCATTTGTCATTTTGTCATGCAAGCTTTCATTCATTTTTTGCAGTACTTCTAAAGACCATATAATTATGTTACTACAATTCAGATCACGATATAGACTGAATGGTGAATGGGCCTTTGGACGCTATTGTAATTTAAGTTGTTAGAAGGATTAATTAATGTTGTCATGAAGTGGCTCTGCAATACAGAAAAAGAATGTCAACATCATACCTAGAAGAGAGGTCTCCTTGGCAAATGCTGCAGCAATAGCTGGGTCCAGCGTTGGCTGTCCATCGCCAGATGGAAGGTCAGGACGAGTGTAGTCCCTGCTTTTATCGTTGTTGTACTTGACATTCAAATTCACCAATTTGGAAAAATCAATTCGTAGGGTACAGCAAGCATTATAAATATTTTGACCATCTAAGGCCTGAAAAAAAGATCACAGTTTATTTAAAGACACACAATACCAGCTGGTTGCACAAGGTTGGGGTTTTTGGTTGTTTTATTTTAAACAAGGTCAGTGTATAGATATTTATCCCTCTTACTGTCCAGCTTAAAACCAATTAAAATGCATTAACTTCTCAACATGATGCCAGGAAGCTCAATGTTCCCTTCTTACCTAGAAACTGTTTTTATGCACCAAAGGGGCAAGGGACATTTTAAATTCAAACTTAAATTCTGTCTGTTGAATACAGCTAACTAACCTGCATTCCATAGCACAGCTTAAAATCAGACATAATGCCAAATAGATTTCTCAAAGAAAAAAAAAACCCAAAACCAAGAATCTTACATGGAAAACCTAGACTTAACTACCATGTTAGACAGCCATCTGTTAAAGCATAAAATATACATTATTCCTGCATGCTTTCCTTCTCTCCTTAAAGGCAGTTAGTGCCAAAACAGAGAGAAAACCAACTATAACTGCTAACCTGATGTTACTAATACTCTTTTTTAGAAATCCCATTTTCACAATTAATTGGTACTTCTGAAAGAATGTGTATTAACATGACAGCTAGTACTCCATGAAAACACTTTTAAAAAAATCCATCATATGTATACACACACACACACATATATATATATATATATGTTTCCTCCATTCTCCTTATCCACCAGGCAAGTCAATACCTGGATTTGAGTCCATTTACATTTTGGGCATATCTTCCTTTCACTCAGAGCACTACCAGTTAAATACGGGAGACTTAACTTTTGCAATAAAGTCAGTTTAATTCTTAGGGAATGCTGGGAAGTGACGATGCAGCTAATCTAGCATTCAATCAAGTCATCAGTTAACTACTCAGTTAAATACGGGAGACTTAATTTTTGCAATAGTCAGTTTAATTCTTAGGGAATGCTGGGAAGTGACGATGCAGCTAATCTAGCATTCAATCAAGTCATTACGTTAAATATAAAGCTACCATATATATATGTGCACTGAAAAAAAAACAAATAAAGCAAATTATCAAATACACTCATCAGATCTTTTATTTCACTGTTTGGACTGAAATGCTAGACTGAAATGTACCACTTCTGGACCTGAGCTAGCTCTTGCAGTTAGCAGGGTTACAGCTGCAGTTTACTTGCCAACACATCCAGGTTCTGGTAGGGCTTTCTATTTTGAGCTCAGCACTGTACAAACCTTGTGTGCCTGCTATTTTCATACAGTGATGCATCTGGAAACTGAACATCTTGCAGACATCCCTCTGCTAGGTCTGGGCCAGCAAGGCTGTCCCCACAAAGCATTCTCACACCTGGAATCTCCAGGACTCACAAAACCACTTAAAAGAACTACCACCATTAGTCAACGTAAAAGAATGTCTAAGTCAATGTAATTATTTTGCCATAGCTTGGAAGTTCTAAAAACATATAGAACAAAAAACTTAACTGGAAAATCTAAGCATCAACAAACAGCAATTAAAGAGAAACTCTTGTGCTTGAAATTCAGCTTAAAAATGCTTTATACAATATTTCAAAAGCAAAAGTTACTCTCCTTATTCATAGAACACAAGCTTAATTAATTGTGTATTGTTGGGGTGGTGGTGGGCACCACCATTACAGCATACACCATTTGCTAGCTCTTTTATGCATGGTGACAAAGCACAATCCAAGACTCCCATTGGTATTTGGGAAAGAATATCACTTGAACATTTACACCTAAAAAAAGATTATATTGAGAATATGCCATCACTTTCAGAAGACTTCCTACTCTAAAATCCACTAAGATATGGACTAGAGGAAGGTCCAAATTTTCCAGCCAGAATTTACTTACTGTCAAATACAATGCCACTGCCCAGCAAGGGAACACCCAATGCCATGATGAAGAAAACAGGTGTGAACAAGACTGAAAGGCTGTATTCTTTAGCTTTGTCTGAAGCACAGGACCCAACAAGATTCATACTTTACCTCTGTGGAGTCTGTAGAAATACTGACTTGTGGCTTGCAGAAAGCTGCTAAGTTGATGGAAATATTTTAGAGTTAAGAAGCAGCAAACCAAGATATATCTGTGTTTGTAGTTTCTAGAGTAGTCAGTGTTTAAAGGGAGCTATATAAGTAACTAAAACTTCTACTGAAACAGCAAAAACTCCTCTTTCTGCCAAAATCAAAGTGACCAAAAATACATATAAAAGGTACTGCACAAGAGAAATCCCTTGTAGTTGGGGGATAGATGGGGTGAAAGAACATCCTGAACCAGAAAGGAAGGAGATGCACTCTTAATAAGCACTGTAGTCAAACTCTAGGAGAGGATTCAAGCACCAGAACAAAAAAAAACCCTCACCCCTCCATCACCATCTCTACCAGCATCATACACCTCTAACAATGCAAGAAAGAGTCTCACCAACCAGCATTTTTTTCAAGATTAATTGTTCACATCTAAAGTCACAAATGTGAATGTGTGTCCTGAGCGCTTACTTGTATAGCAAAAGAATGTGCAACAAATCCTCAAACACTGTTCCACTCAGACATCCTGAAAAACATGACACCAGCCATTCACTGCTAGTGAATGTACATACCAACATCATCTCCAAGAACTCTAGTCACTGCTAAGAAACCTTCTTTCGAGTATTTATTTCACATGTGATACCATACCACACCACACACATGCCAAACCAAGGAGATCAAGAATCATGAGACCTTCTACAAATGTGAGTACCATTCTTCATCTTGCTGTATCGGCAAACCCAAAAAACTAAACCCAAGATTTTTACAACAGCGTAAGAGCTAAAGGCATAAGGAAAACCCCAAACCCAAGGAAGGAACACTTACAAAACACACTCCAGCTCAAATAAGTACCTCAAAGTAACTGAAGGTCATATGCTAAATATCTCTGGGGAGAAGTATGTCCCAAGCGCATCCCACAGATCAGTGCATCTGAATGAAAGTAATTTCTTTTGAGACAAGTATCTTAGATACAAGACGTTTCTGTGGCTAAGAAGTGTATGTAAATACATTCTGTTCTCAAAAATCAACATATTTTATGTGCAAAGGACCTGTTGCTGTACTTCCTGGGCTTTCTGATACAATGTAATCCAGCCTCTCCTGTTTACCTGAACACTACTTATCATTTCTGAGCAAAAACTGTGCTCCTCAGAACAAAAGATATCCAAAAAAGCCTAATACAATAATAGTGGATAATAGCCCTGCAGCTCAGTATCCCCCCATCTGAAGATCTTTTTTCCATTCTGCAACAACTACTTGAAGTTCCTGCTACATATTTTAGGGCAATGCAGATGGGCAGAGATCTTTTGCAGATTGCTACCAGCACAGAGCTACCCTGAAGTTGTGAGGCAAAACAACTGGAAAGATGACATATGCAGTCAAACTTCACTGGAATCTTTGAATCACGTGCAGGCCAAGGAAGGATCAACTGGCCAACTGTAACAGAAGCCCTAGCGATATTTTTAACCCGTGCTGGGTCAAGATGACCAGCATGCACTACATATGAGCCTCAGTTGTCTACAGATGAGTCATTAATAACTGTTAATATCCATGACTTGACAAGAATACTTTCAGTACATCTGCACGAAGGAAGGCAATTCTCTGAATTAGCCAGCTTCTCAGACAGGAACACCGGCACCCATCTCATGGTATACTGAAGTACTGGTCCTTAAACATTTAAGCCTGCTGCTTATGCCAAGAGTATTCATCATTCACAATGAAAATGGGCTATTTTTAATGCTTAGATATTTCCATATGCATACAGACATCTCCAGACAAAACCTTCATTAGCAGAAGCATGAGAGTTTACTGTCCTCTACTCTTGCCCATTCTCAGTTACATTCTCCACCCTGGCTAGACTGCTGCATTATACAGAACCTGAAGCTCCCAGTCTTCACCTAAGGAACCCATAATGATCCAGCCTGAGAGTGGTGACAAAACAAGTATCGGTGGAGCCACTATCTACTTTTACAGGAAATTAGTTTCTTACAAAACAAGCAGAGCAGGAATGAGGTTTTTCACTAGCTGCTCATTCAAATTGCAAAAGAGATCCCACAGGGCTAGAGACTTCATATTGCACATTCTTGTCAGTGTCACTGTTTTCTCAGAACCTTCAAATGCACAGCATCTCTCCTTGGTACTTACATCACTTGAGTTTTTCAAATTGCTCTTTAACTTCCTTAATAAGTCTTCAATTTCTATTAAGGCCATATTCTGATTTCCTGTGAAGAGGGCCACTGGAAAATTAAATTTCCCCATTATCTTCTACAGCAACTTGGATGGAAAACAAATTGAAAACTTTACTCTTTTACCATGTGTTTGATCTTGAACTCCATGCAACTTAACTGCAGCCACCACATCATCTTGCTTCTACATCCAGATGTATTTAAGCTGAAGGGGGTTTTTTCCTATCACCTGACTGCTTCTTTCCTTTAGGTATTTTTGTTCTGGTGGCTCTTTATGTTTTATCACAGTGCCTTAACCATAAGAACTGTGTTTTACTCTATTGAGTTTGTGAGGGTAGTAGGGAAATCAAACCTTCCTCCCAATTTAGCATCCTTTAGTAATTGCAATTGGTACTACTCTTAACATTTTGTATATTTTTGCATAGATTGGTTAAAATATGAAACTATAAACCTAAGACCATTTCGATTTGACAATAAGGCCCCAACATTATTCTGTCAATTACGGTACATACAAGAGTCACTTATTTAATGAAGTGTAGTCATTCACACACATGCTACTGCAAGTGAACAGAAACAGGCAAAACTGGAGAAACAAATACATGTTGGGTTTTTTATAAGACTAATAGAGTCCCACAAGCTAGTAACAGTTTGTCTGAAGCAAGTAACAGCAATATTCCTTTCATTTGTAACTTCTTTGTAATATGGTCCTAAAATTACACTGATCATTTTCATATCACTACAGTCCATTTTGCAGATGTCATTTTGTTAAATTTTGTTAAATTTCCTGATAATACACATGACTCAAAAAACAAAGTCAAAAGTTTTAAAACTTGATGTCATACTTTGCATCAGAAAAGCACTTTAATAGCAGCAGTAACATCTACTACTGAAAAATGTCTTTCCAAACACAAGTCAAGCCTGAATGACGCCCTTCTGTAACAAATGCATGTAGCATCCAACTGTTTATCAAATATTTCAAATATAAATCTAAATGTCTACAGATTTCTGCAGAACTTGTAGGCCACAATGTACCACTATATTAAACCTGCAAGGTCCATCCTATCCATACAAATTCTTATGTAGTACAGTGATAATTTGCATCTCTCTCTACTCTGAGGCATAATCTAGTATTTGATATTGCTTCAACTCTGAAAAGGATATCCCTAATTTAAATTGTGTTCCAGATCTACAAGTATTTCCAGACTGCTTTTCTGGAGTTGATTATCTTAAAGTGGACCACCATAAACCAAGTTGCAAATAGTCTCTTCTCTTCTCTCTTGCTTTCCTCAATAGCATGAAAATTTACACTCTGCTTTTTGAAAACATGTTAAATTCTTTGTGATTCCTTGTCTTGACCATCTCACAGTTCTTTACTCAATGCCCAGTATTTCATTTGGTGATAGGGACAAAAATGACCATCCTCCACCACTTAATGAAGTCTTTATTTCAATACAGTCCTCATTCTTTACAACAGAAAATTAAGCCCTTTTTGTCTTTTCTCTACCAAGAGGAAAATTTGCCAACTTAGCCTGAGGTGTGAGCTTTTCAATTTTCTAAAGTTCTCAGCTAGTCTGTCATCTCCAGGCAATAAGCACTTTCTATGCTGCCAAGCAACACTTAACTAGCACATCAATTTTAATCAGCCTTCCTCAAACTCAGACTGCATGTGAAGGTTTGAAAATACAAATTAATTCCATTTATCTCTTGAAAATTATAATAATAATAATAATAAAAATCTCACCTTCCCCTTTGGTTCACCTTTTCTACTGCCACAAATGTGAACATATGCCATTCAATTAATTCAAACCATCTGGTCTAGATGACATGCTGTTGATCTTTGCCATAATTTATCCATAGGCTCTCTCCTGCTATAATGAATAAAACCAGCTACCTGTTCTTGCCTCTCCTACCCAGGATAGGAGAGTTTCCTATAAAACAAAAGCAAGATCCTGCTCACCCATCACTGCTGCAAAGCTTTGCCGCAGTCTGGTCACATGAGTAAAATGCTCTCTTTCTTCCGGGCATTTATGGTTACAAATAAGTATAGATTTTTTTTTTAGGATACTGTAACTAAATACTTTCACAAACCTGTAACTAATCCACAAATCACATATTTATATGGATGCTTAAAAGTACCTGCCAACAACAATCCAATAGGGTTACTAAATTTGCTTCTTACAGTGAATTAATTATGCATCACCATGACATCCTACATTCTTATTTCTGGTTGACATTATTACTATTGCAGTCTTGCATATTGTTTAATCTCTGTGCAGTCTTACTAAAATATTTGTTTATACAATTGTCTAAAATATTTTACACACAGTATCCATAAGCACACTATCATTAAACACTGATTTCACATAGTATAACAATTAACTTCCACTTATTTTCTTTAATCGCAAAAAATTCACACACATGGTGGAGGAGTACGACACACGGCTATGGCAGTACTCTGTATGATCAACATTTTACAAACACTGAGAGTACAGGAAGATCTCTAGCCTTAGAAGAGAACTATACTTACTTGTTTTGCTTGCTGTGCGTTTACTGGATCACCAAACTGAAGTAAAGCTTGAAACTGGTTATTCTTTGTGAATGTGATTATCTTCAATACAGCACCAAATTTAGAGAATATCTGCCAAAAAACATTGTACAGTTTTACACATCTGTTTCTCCCAATCACAGCTCAAGCTAAAATGAAATTTGACTCACCTGATGAAGAACATCCAGGGTTACTGGATAGTACATGTTGTCAATAATTATTCTAAGTACTGGACTCTGAGCTGGAGTCACTGCACTCTCACTAACAGTGGTCCCACTAATGGGAGCATTTGATGCCTGCACAGCCGTCACTGCCTGAAGAACAGCTTGGGCCCGCTTAAAGAAAACATGACAGAAGAGAGATTTTCTTAATATTTCAAGATAACAGCTTGAAATTAATTAGAAATATTCATATAGTTAACTCCAGAAACACAAAATAGTCCGCTTATTTAAAACTTGGAGCTACAGACATAACACAAAGTTAAATGCAATGCAGTCTGACTCTGTGAGAAGAGCCAAGAAAAATGAAAACAGCAATTAATCCTTATGTCACATTAAGGAGGGGCTTCAAAAGGCACCAATATCAATCTTTCTAGTAGAAAGCTTACTGTTCTACTATTCTACTAACAAGGATCAAGAAAGTGAGGATTTTGTAGGTTTCAAGATTCTTTCCTTTACAGGAAATAAAACTAAACTAACCCACAAACCAATCAAGGAAAAACCCCAACCCTACAGAAAGCAGAGGAACTTATCTTACATTCAAAAGGTTGCATCTCAGCTAACATTTCACTGCCATTTTAATTATGTAGAAGGTTCTAATAGGAAGGGAAAATTCTAAACTAACACATCCCAGCTTCTCAGTTTTAACACAAGGAAATAATACAAAAGACTAACAAATGTCAGAAAGTAAACCTCCAGAGAGGTAAACAAACTGGTGTCTATTATCCACTCTCTTTTGTAAAAATAAAAACAAAATCCTCTCCATCTGTGGGGCTTTTTTTGTTTTTAAACACAAGTAGGACTTTAGAAACTCAAAGGTAATCATGATACCACAAAAACACACATCTATATCTGACAGTATCAGTAAGATTAGATGTCTTTTTCTGAGAAAGAAAAAGTGCAGAAAAAAGAGGTTCCATTTAATACTTTCATTACAGTTGCCTTATGAAGCAAAACAACACAAAACAAGAGAGACAAGTGAGCATGCCAGGTAAAAATAATAACCATCCTATTAATGCATACTGCCTATTTTAAAGGTATTAGAGATACCACACAACTTCATGTTTCACAACTTACATGGTACTCCTCATACTGAATCAAATCAATGAATAAGGAAAGTGGTGGGGGGGGAAGACCTGGTGAACACCAGTTGGGAAAACAAAATTTACCTCTACATTTAACATTAATTACTGTAACTGTGTAAAAATATCTTTCAACTACACTTCTTTTCCCAAAAGCATGAAACACACAACTTTCAAGACGGCCAGATATTTGGCTGAGTTACAGGTGTCAGAACAAGGAAGGTAATTCTACCATCCTACAGTCTATAAACTAAAAAACTTTGAAGTTATTTAGAACTTTTGAATAACTATTAAAAACACACTTCAGAATCTTTGCCTTTTGACATTAAGGGCACATTAAGAAAATTTATTGTAATGGAATACAATAATCAAATTATTGAAAATTTCTGAAATTTTCAATAATTTGAAAAATTATTGAAAGCAAATGCCTTTCAGTGCCACAAAATGGAATGATCATAGGTAAAGACTAGAGGAGTGTTAGAATGTGGACAAAACCAAATGATTCGAACATATGGCACGTGAGCCAAGAACACGTGCCAAGCCCCATCTTCTACTGTCTGCATTTGTGATACTACTGAACAGGAAATATACCTGGTTAAGTGTGTTATCAGTCTTTAGTTCTTTATGATTGGAATACTGGATATAAATGGGTTGGTTACGAAGATGAGGTGTCACAGCAGAGTAGTAATTAACCATAGTGATAGCTGCTTCTTCTGTGGCAAGCTCCAAAAATGCCTGTAATTAAAAGAATTAAAATTTTCAGCATTTACAAAGCAGGTAATCTTCATATTAGACGAACATAAAAAACCAAAGGGTTTTCTAACATATTTTAACAGATTGATCAGTCTTCAGAAAATGTCATTCTACACATACCAACTTTATTTGTTAAGCTACTTAATCTCCATAAATTCATCTGTGAAGATGCAAGAATAAATATTTATCTTCCAATTAACTTTTTGCTTTATGTAGCTGCCAACCATCCTGTTTCCCCAAAAAATTTACTAAAAGATGGCAGAAATTCAATAAAAAAATAAAGGAACAAAAACTCATTTTTCTAGAATACTTACTGCTTTATGACTTACTTCAATAGCATTTTAACAATATATTTTGAAATCAGACAGCAAGCATATTAAAAAACAGAAAGCAACAAATTACCTGGTTTTTCCCTTTCAGCATCAGGATGTTGGTTACTTTACCAAAAGGTAAACCTAAAGCAATAACTTCTGTTTCTGTCACTTCCCCAGGCAATTTCCTGATATGAAGAACACGAGAAGGAGCCCCATCCATTTTATCATCACTTTTGAATTTCTTGTTGTCATTACCATTGGCTGAAAGACATATTCAGACTCTATTTGAAAAGTTTACTGATATTATTAATGCTTTATTAAAAATGCTTTTAATTATAAACATTACATTAATTTTAAGTGAGCCATCTCACTTGGTTTAGGTCAAATTCAAGGCTTCAGAACAAATTCTGCAGAGACAAATGCTAGTTTCATGGAAGATAGATTGTTCGAGACTTATTCATCTGCTAGAGACCACAGCAAATCCTTTACACCTCACTTTCAGTGAAGCATCTCAAAAAATAACATGGAATAACATATTAATCATGTCTAACAAGAGCTCACATAAGAGCTCCAACATATATTGAAGTAAAACCAGTTAGTGGCTACCCAGAGATTTTTTGAAGGAAATAAAATGGTGGTGAACCATTAATAGATCCCAAAGTTTTTTAAGAGCTGCTTGCAGTAAGGAACTGGACACAAAGTAGAAAAGCAACAAAGCAAGAAAGGAAGCGTCATTAATGCTGGGAAAGATCAGAGCGGAGACAGGGGGTGACCCAGAGGACTGACATCACAAAAAGCTGATGAAACCAACAATTTAAGGTAAGAAAATGTCAATTCTAAACTATGATCTCACTCATAAAAAAAGAAAAACCAACTAATAACACGATGCAGTCAACACAGACCGGGATGGAGGAAGACCCAGATACATTTCCCTAAAAGAAGCCGGGAAGCGTTAGCATCAATGTACAAAACACCAGAAAGACGATTTAGAATATTCTCCAGTATTGTTGCAAAGAATTACAGCAAAATTCCAACTGCACTTCCTTTTGCTTGATAAGCAGCTAACCAGTTGGATGGAAGAAATCTTGCTTTTGAAAGAAGGCCAGAAAAAAATTATTTACTTTGCTTAAAAATATGTCAATGGAGTAAACATCAGAGTCAAGAGCTAAAGAACAACACTGTCATAATATATAATATTAATGAATTAATCAATGCTAGAAATCAGTATGTACTTAGATGTTAATGAAACAAGTGATAAGACTTCCCTTTCTTCTACCAAAAAAGATATTTAGATTCATCTAAATATAAAATTCAAAATATCCTATTAGTTAAAAACAGTATGTCTTACAGGCACGTCATGCAGTAACTCCATACCCACACCCTGTACCACTACCATCAACCCTCCTCCAAAAAAATTTCCATGACTAAGCTTTTAAAAGGTTCTTGCACCAAAGAACACAGTGTTTTCCAACTTACTACAGCAGACAAAACAACAAAAACCTAACAACATTCAAAACTGGTCAAAATGCAGCTACTAGTATCTCCAACTGACGATGCATATCCATGCAATAGGAGGAATTTTATTTTGGTCTGCTGCAGAGAAAGACAAAATTTGGTGGAACACAGAAGAGTAAAATTTGAAAAATACACACAACTAGGATCTGAAGTCTACACAGGACTCTAACCCGTACCATTTTGGCAAACATGGTGAGATTGAGCTTCCAGGTAACGATATTTCACTTGTTCAAGATTATACATAATAACACTATCTCGAAGAGACAGCCAAAGTTTGTGAAAAAGTACTTCTACTTTTCACCTGAAGCTCATCACATAATAGTCTTCCTTGGTTCTCAATTTAAATCTCTACAAAACTAAAAAAAACCCAAACAGAAGAAACAAGGTGAAGCATGATAGGCTGGACAATGCATTACCAACAATATGTTAAAAACAAACTTGCAAAGGATAAAAGAATTATGGTGATACTGAAGCTACAAGTCCAATGCCCTTCATACTTCAGCTTGCTGAATAATTTCAATCCATTAAAGTTTCAAAAAATATGAAACATTACCAATCAGAAATGAAAATGAGAAAAAGCTTTCAAACTAAAGGATTTTCTGAAATTAAGAAACCTTTTTTACATCACCAGAAAAATATTCACTATGATGGTTTAGATCAGTACTGACAGAACTGTTTTGTCTCTTGTGTGCTTTTCAACAGACAATTTTAACATATTAACCTTTCCACTGCATAATGTCTAGGAATTTACTTTTTGCTACAGTAAAGCTCTTAAATTAGGCTTCAGGTAATCCCATCATTTCTAGTAAAGGTATCACTGGCCAGCATATAATCACTCACATACATATATACTAAATGTTCCTTTAATAATTATTTAACACAATACTTTATTGATTACTGTATTACCCAACTGATTTTGCATCTCTTAGAATTGCTACCTAATACTGGCATTTTAAATAGTTTTTCAACTTTTGCTGCAGTAAGTTTAAAGAACAAGCTTAAAAGAAGCATTTTGATGTACTAAATATGTGTATCTTTTCCTAAACAGCAACTAAGAGCTTTAACTTATTTCACATATACAAGCCTCTCACACAATTTTATTTTTTACACAGTCTTAAACCTCAACTACACTATACTTGTAACTTTTTTTATTCACTGTAAAAAAAGCTATGTAGACAAGTGCCTGGGCAAAAACATTTATGTTAAAAAGCAGATAAATATATTACAGTAATACAAAAAAATACAGAATTAGGCACAGAACATATGGCAATCAGAAAACAGGGGGCGGGAGGGACAGGATGGGGATTGGCAACAGTCATTCTCAATGCTTTGGAATTGCCCAAAAATGTTTTTAGCAGTAGGACAGGTAAACATGACAAAAGCTGTTTGTTACTTATTGGCAAAAGCATCTCTAGTACAATGAAAGCCAAATTGGTACAATTCTTTAAGAAACATGAAGCCCACCTTCTTAAAGTAAAATTTATGCCAAAAGATTTAACAGTGGATTTTGGAAGACAGAAGAAATTAACATGCCAGCTGCTGAATGCAAAGAGAATATGTACTTTTACTACGTTTGGTTATCCATTCAGCATCACCTAACAGTAATTTTCTGTTCCAGTAATGAAGTGTGTATCGTACACTAAATATGCATGCACATACACAACTGAACTTTTCAAGACACTCATGGAGCAAATTATATTTAGCTTTTAGGAGAGTTATTGAGAGATTCTGGCACTATATGAAACCTCTCTAACTGTAGTCTCTCAGTTGTCATTATAAATGGTACTTCTCAGCTGAAGACGCATCATTAAATTGCACTTGGGAATAGAAAACCACATTTACAACACGGGAACACAACTTGTTCAGAACCATTGAAAGGTGAATTTAACTACTGTTAAAACAACAATCTTATCCTCTAACAAATTTTATTAGCAGAATCAGTGTCCATAAAGGTTAAAAGCCAAGTCAAGGGGAGCAAGGTACTAGAGGAATAACATGGTCTTTTGGTAGAAGTAGAGTCCATGCCTAAGCAGCAACAACGTGAAAGATCCTTCCCTACACAGCACTTAAGACAAAATTGCTGAAACCCAGGGGAGAGGCCAAGGGATGTTGGAGGAGACCTCACAAGCTGACTAACTACTGCTGAAACTGCTGTTAAACTGGAGACTTACTGGCAAGTAGCTATTTCATGAGGTAGTTTGGCTTTCACTGGACTTGAAAATCCTGTTCCAATTCAAACATTTTGCTGCTAACGCTTTAACAAATACAAATATGCACTGAAAACAGCAGGCTGCAACATTTGCATTGTGAGAAAAAGTTTTAAGAAGCACTGGGAGAATGACTAAAACACAGTGTTAGTTCATTTACAAATCAAGTTATAGCTGCAAATACATAGTCAAAAAAAATATAAACCCAAAAAATTAGAAACCTGTCCCTGAATCATAGAAACATTTAGGCTGGAGAAGACCTTTAAGATCGAGCCCAACCATTAACCCTGCACTGCCAAGATCCACTGAACACAGGAATGGTTCTATTCAATTCAGACTATCGTAAAAACCCATGTTCTGTAACAACCATAGCACTGATTTAAGTCCTCTGAGTCTCTCTACCAAGCACATGAAGAATTCAGTTTCCATGTGACATCAGGCAACTATATCTAAACAAGATATCATCTTTACTAATGATGTTCAAAGCATTATTCTCACATCCAAATAGGATACTGCAGTTTAAATATAATTTATACATAAGCCACATCCCTGTTGCACAGAGTTCCTTCAATTTAGCGTAAATCAACTTGTTGAAATTGAATGCTTACAGGTTGACAAAGCCTGTAAATGGCCATAATCTGTGCAACTCGGGACCTGGCATTTTCAGAGAGAAACTCCTATTTTATTAAACAAAGAAATAAGAACCTATATAAAAAAAGCAACAAAATTAACTGCAGTATACACAAGACATATTTGTAAATCCAAGTCATTCCATCATTCAAGCTATGAATATTCAAGCAACCAAGCAGTTTTTGCAGAAAAACTGTTCTGCAAGTTCAGCACAACTCCTACCAAAGAATGAATAGCTTACTATCTGATAATAACTGATTTTGAAAACATATTTTAATAAAATTTCATCCTAGAGGAGCTTTTCTCTGCACTTTTTTAAAGGAAATATACAAATACGACCTAAGAGTTCTGAGACCTTTATTTAAGAAGCATAACTTCTCTGTATCAAACTTTTTTCATAAGCACACAGTCTCCTAAAACCAAAATGTAATTATGTAGGTACAGCCAAAAAAACCTGGATACAATATAAAGTTGCTTTCACCCGTTAGTTCCTGAAAAGAAGGAAAAAAAAAAAACTACCACAAGACGCTGGCTATAAATTCCTGCATATCTGCAGTAGTGAAATATAAAAATACACATACTTCCTGAAGAAATCACTCTCTTTCACAACTGCCAGTACATACCAACAATCAATTTAAAAAAAAAAAAAGTAACTTTCAATTTGTACATACTAAATACAAGAAGCTTAATAGCAGTAGTATTCAGTGCTGTTCTGTGTCGAAAGCACTTCTTGTGCTTGGCTAAATATATTTAATTTAATGTCATCAGCTGTAGAACATCAGACACATATCCAGACAGGAAATAAGGGACTAAGAGAAAGGCAATGCAATTGAAGATATCTAGTTTATTAGACAAATATTAAAATGTTGCACTGGCTACTGAGCACAGTCATCTGCCTCAACCAACCAG